ATTGTTACATCAATATTTTAATGAATAAATTAGATTATTGGAAATTTTATTTGTTATAAACTTTCCATACAATTTTCAATCTGTATGTATTTCCATTAAAGTTCTGTGTCAACAATCCATAACTGAAAATTAAAAGATTTTAAATTTTATTAATGGTGGAGATAAGAGCTGAGAGGGAAACTTAGCTCGCTAGCTTAACGTGTTGATAATGCTTCCTAATTATTAATTATTAGCGTGTGGAAACCACGTCCTCATTTTAATTTACTAATTTATTACACACATCAAAGCTATGTACTAATTTAGCGTTTTAGGTGTATATTAACTCATTAATTAATTACTATTTTGTAAAGAATTAGATGTGTTAGGAGATCACGTAGCTAAAAATATACATTCGAGATAAATAATATGGGAATAAAATCACACCACAGAAAGAGACACGAGATTTACGTGGTTCAACATAATCCACCTACCTTTACAGATGAGAAAAATCCACTATAGTTTCATAAACATAATATATAAGAATATACAATACTATACACCAATTAGATAATTAACAGAGCGAAAACAATCATAGTTTTCAATCACATAGTGTTTAATAATCTTTACATCAAATATATTGTGTTCTCATATCCTCTCGTAACCTTGAATTGATTCTTACCTCCAAGTAGTAAATGAGATATTTTACTTCTCATAGGAGTCTTATTCTTTTTATAAAGGGACTCTCCTAATTACATTCCTAATATGACTCATGTTCTTATAATAATTGTATTCCTCTTTAAATTAACTTCTTAAAGAAATAACAATGTTATAAAGAAATAATTAGGAAAACAGCCACAGTAATATCAACGTTCTGATGAAACAAGATGAATGCATTACATGCAACTATAGTAAACCGCAGCCTGAGACACACAGACTTTCAGGGTCAAACTTATGCAACTTCATTGCAGACTACGAAAAGACTTAGAAATATGGATTCATGATCTGCCTGGAATTATACACATATTAATCTTGTTCTTGACGTTCATTATAATTTCTGAAAATATATGGAATCATGCTTGTTCACACCTAATGAAGATATTGTGCGTGGATTAAGAGTTCATAGAATAATTAACCTTTCATGATTATTCACCATCAAATATTTGACTCCCCCAAGTCGATTCGTTAATTTTAATTAACTAAGGTCAATAACAGTGTTCAATGTTAACTGGATCCTTTGTACTTCAACTTTCATTTAATTGCTCAAAAATTGGATCAGTGTAATAGTCTATGTGACATAATATATGATTCCAAACCATATTTTTCGTTGTTTAATTACTTTCAACTAATCTAAGGTTTATGCCATTGATTAATCTTGTATTAAGTAAGCTAAAAAAAATTCTCATGATTTTTTTTTTTCAAACCTATATATAAATTATTTATTAATATTGGAACGATTCCAAGTGACCAAATATTAAGGGAAAATAATAGTCCCTCAAGATCTTTCATAATGATTTACAAGCTTACCAAGAAAAACAATTGGTCTTGTTCTGGCTTTTGTCTTTATATAACAACAAAAACAAATTCTTATTTTAAATTTTATATTAAAAAATAATTCAATCTTATCCTAAACTTAACATAATAAATAATTTATAATATTTATTTTTAAGTTATATTACACTTATGAAACTTTTATACAAAGTTAAAGCCTTTCATACAAAGAGGGTGTTTGTATAAGCTGGTCAAACTAATTTATAAACTCTAAAATCTAGTTGACCTATTTATTTATAATTTTTTTTTTGCTTATAAGTTTGGCTTCTAAGTAAAAAAATAAATATATTTGATTTTATAATTCCATCATATAACCTTATTTATTATTTGATAAAATAATGTAGTATATTTTTTAATCATTTTAATAATAAAATATAATTATAAACCATATTTTATCAAACGTATCAATAAAAACAAGATGCATGAAAATACATTAATGCGCAGCATGAGACACAGACGATTCAGAGTCAAAACTTATGCAACTTCATTGCAGACTACCAAGAGACTTAGAAATTATATATTCTTATATGCCTGGAATTCTACACACATTGATCATCTGGAACTATAGATGATCCTATAATTTGCATGTCATTATGCTTACGTTAGTTCATGCTGATCATCCATCTAATGCAAAACCGTGTGGAATTAATTAACCTGGAAGACAAACTTTTCTGTGTTTTATATTTATTCCACTAAGAATATACAGAACTATTTATGTTATAATTTCAACAATCAACAAACTCATGTAATTTATAAGCTTATTAGAAATGTAAACAGATTACATTACTTTATATATAACAAGTTGTTGGCCTTGGAAGCAGCTGAAATTTCATTTCTATTTCCTCTTTTTCTAGGGGCAAATTATTTTTGTGTCAATAACATGAATAAAAGATAAAATAATAAACTTAATTATTGGTGTAAGCAAGCGTTGTCTTAATCTTTCTCGGTTGTTCACCAACAAATTGACTCCTGCAAAGTCGATTGTGTTAATTTCAATTGACTAAGGTCAATGATAGTGTTCAATGTTAATTGAATAATGAGTAATCAACTTTTTCTCACCCAAATAATGGTTTAATGATACTTTTTCATCCATTAACTTTTAAAATATCACTTTACTATTAAAATTTATATTCCGTTTTCGATTCTAACATAGTTGCGACCACATATCACCACCATTCTCTTTAACGATCATAACTCACCAAAACCCTTCAGACTCTACTCCGGCCGACCCCACCAATCGCCTTGATAATCGAGCAATTAGGGTTTTTGTATCCGTCCCTCCCAAGTGAAAAATCTCAATCAATCTCAACTACCAAAATCCAACATTCCATCACTAAAAGACTCATTGACCTCCCCCTTCAAAAACCTCAATAATCTAGACCGAGTTTGCTCTCTGTTCATCACTGAAATATAAATTTGGATAATAAAGAGATATTTTAAAAGTCTGTGAGTGGGAGAATGTCATTAAACCATTATTTGGGTGGGAAAAAGTAGTTAACACTTGAATAATTTATACTTAACTTTCATATAGTTGCTCAAAAATTGGATCATTGTAATAGTCCAGGTGATATAATATATGATTCCAAAGCATGTTTTTCGTTGTTTAATTAATTTCAGCTAATCTGAGTTTTATGATTTTTTTTCTTTTTCCATCAAATACAAATCCAAAACAGTTGTATTCCTCTATAAATTAACTTCTTAAAGAAGTAACAATGTTATAAGGAAACAATTAGGAAAACAGCCACACAGTAATATAATATGTGTCATCATCCATTCATTAATAATCAATCCATTATTTGGAAATTACTAGACAATGAGAGGAAAGATGGATAAGGGAGACTTTTCTTGGTATCGTTAAATCAATTCTTTTATTGGTTGAGTGATGAATTTTCAAACTAACTAAAATATATCTGTGTCGTTGTGATTAATTATAATATATTCTCAACCATATCATCTTTCTATGTCTTATAATATAAAATATTCAAGATGCTAAATCTACTGCGCCGCCAGATTAATTTCATCCATTTGCATTCATTATATATGTTTCTACGTTCTGATAAAACAAGATGAATGCATTAAATGCAACTACAGTAATACCGCAGCCTGAGACACAGACTATGCAGGGCCAAAGACTCAAAATTATGCAACTTCATTGCAGACTACGAAGAGAGACTTGGAAATATATATTCATATCTGCCTGGAATTCTACACACGTTCTTGACGTTGATTATAATTTTCCTGCAAACCCATGTGGAATTAATTAATGTGGAAGACAAAGTTTTCTGTCTCTTATATTAATTCCACTAAGAATATTTAGTGCCATATAAATAAATTATTTAAAAATATTGGAACGACTCCAAGTGACCAAATATTAACAGAAAATAAGAGTAAACGACTTTTTTCCACCCAAATAATAGTTTAATGACACTGTCTCACTCATAAACTTTTGAAATATTATTTAACAATTTATATTCCGTTTTCGATTCCGGCATCGTTACGACACCATACTATCATCACTCTCTTCCCTGATTATCACTCAACAAAACCCTTCAAACCCTACTCCCGTTGAATATATCAATCGCCAACAATCGAACCATTAAGGTTTGTGCAGCCGCCTCTCCCAAGTCAAATTTCGATTAATCCCAACCACCAAATCCAACCTTTCATCACCAAAGGACTCATCGACCTCTTCTCTTAAAAACCCTAACATCATAAACCGAGTTTGCTCTCTGTTCATTGTCCGAATATAAATTTGGATTATAAAATAATATTTTAAAAGTCAGCGGGTACGAAAGTGTCATTAAACTATTATTTGGGCAGGAAAAAGCCGTTAACTCCAGTAAATAATAGTCCCTCTCCCTCATGATCTTTCATAGTAATTTACAAGCTTACCAAGAAAAACAATGGGTCTTGTTCTGACTTTTGTCTCTATAAATTCTCATTTTAAATTTCTTATAATTTTTATATTAAAAATTAGAGTTATTGACTTTTTTCCATTAAAGTAATGGTTTAATGACACTTTTTCATCAGACTTTTAAAATACCACATTATCATTCAAATTTATATTTTAATAGCAAATAGAGAATAAACTCGGTCCAAACTATTAAAGCTTTTGAAGAGGTTGGGTGGGAAAAAGTCGTTTACTCTAAAAAATAATTCAATCTTATCCTAAACTTATTGGCTGAATTGGTTACGCTACATTAATAATTAGTGATATATATTATCATATTTTAAGTAATAAATAATTTTAGAGTGTATAACATAATAAATAATTTATAGTATTTATTTTAAGTAATATCACAGTTACAAAATCTTTGTACAGATTCAAAGTCCTTCATGGTAAAGCAATATTTCTTGGCAATTACCCGAAGCCATCCTGTGATTTAACTATATAAGAAGGTTTCAGTCTCACAGATGGAACGCCAATTTTTAATTTTCTAGGTTAAATTGAGGTTTCTTCGGATCAGAGAGGGATGGGAATCTGTTGGTCAGGTGATGTTGAAGGAGGAAAACAGGCCGTGGGTGGGGCCCAGCTCCGGCCCACTATGGCCCACAACAATTTTGGTACCAACGACGCCATTGACTTCTTCTTCAGAGCTCGTGGTCTCACTGCTCTGTTCTCACAAATCGAGGTATCTTTAATTTTTTTTTTAATTATTATTATTCTGTTTATTTTGTTTTTGGTGGTCTTGGTTTTATTTTATGCCCAGTAATTTTAAATGAAACAGTACGTTCTTTTACGAATTTGGCTACAGTAATTGTTCTTACCTAACCAATATTCTGTAATATTCAAACACTGATTTAAAACAATTAGAACATCGATAATTTTTTTTCTAAAGTTTGAAGGGTAGCAAAGGAGTTTTTTATCAATTTTTTAACCAAACTGTTTAAAGAGTCTGTAAATTTTTGGAATTATTTTACTTTGTAGTAATTTCTATGTAAGAGTTGAATTTATTTTGATGTTTGATATCTTGATGAGGTTGGTTTGGTGTTCTATGACATGGGTTCTGTAACAGTAATCAATGAGAAAAAGGAGGAACCTTTGCATACAAGGGAAGTTTGTTCCGTTCAGATGTTTGATATGATTAAGATTGGTTTGCTGATTTATGATGAGCAAGTGCTTTGGTTGTAGGCCAGAATTTAAACAGAGCAGTGATGGATAAGTATCCCATTCCCAGTATTGATTAGATGGTGCAGAAGCAATTTTACAGCTTGGTTCTGAGAAATGCAATATGATCAAAAAGTTAAAACCAAGCAGGCTTTTGAATATACGAGGCTCTGATCATCTTTCATCACTGAAACTATTTTCTTGTGGAATTTTTAATTGATGCGACTCCTGCACAAGTCTTTGCATGTGCTCTGGAGGTTGATTTTTCTGTTACATGATTTTGCCACATGTTTTTGAAGTTGGCGGATGCTCCCCAAGATGAAACATAGATTTGTAGATGGTCTTCAAACATGTGAGGATAAGAAAATGCCATTACGTTAAAAATTAATTCTGCTTTGACATCGAAATGGGTGTCAATGCACCAAGACCATCAATTGCTTTTTTATGTTTTTTTTTATTGATGTGGTCCTTTTCTGAGGGCCTACCTGGGTTCATCTGTCTGGAACCTTTACTACCTGGGCACAAGAGACAGTCTTATGCTTCCAAAATAAGTGGACCCTTCTAATCAAAATGTGCTATGAAGAGTTGGAAATATAATTTGTGTACGGCTTCTCTATGTGAAGGATATTATTTCCAGTCAGTTAACCAGCCAACATCATATAACTAACAAGGGTGGGATCCATTTTTTTGAATTGGAGATTGTTCATGTGTATCTATATGAATGGATTATTCATTTTCTTTCCCTTTTTTTCATGCTTAGTATGTGCACCCATCTATTTTCATTTTTTGATTTATTCATATAACTTGGTTATTTCTTACAGTTATCTCTATCTGCTTCAAAGTTACTTGATCGCGACATAACATCGAAGGTGTGTTTATACTATCATTATCTTTATTCCTGATAAAGGCATGTCCATGTTGCTGGGGTCTTAACATATAATTATGCCTCATGAGGACAGTTTGTCTATTTGTAATTACATTAGCTTTGTATTTTCTATTTCATTAAGGGGCTCTTAAGGTTATGACATACTTATAGACCTTTCTTTATCGTAGAGCGATCCCATGACAGTTGTTTATGTGAAGAAAAGAGATGGGACACTTGAGGAAATAGGACGTACAGAAGTCATTATGAACAACCTGAATCCTTCTTGGATTGAAAAAATCTCAATCGCTTACCAATTTGAGATTGTCCAACTAGTGGTGTAAGATTCTCAAAAAATCTTAAAGTTTGTTTATTTTGTTTTAATAGAGCTTTCACATCTCATAAGTCATGTTTTTCTTTGACATTTTCTCAAGTTTCTGTCTTTATTTTTTTTTTCTTTTTCCAGCTTTCATGTGTATGATGTTGATACCGAGTACCATAATCTACCCGTGAAGGTATATCAGAATTTCTACTTTAACGTTGTATTTATTTTACATGGTCCTGGTTTGAGATATTTTCATTTAGACCATGTTTTACTGAGCAGAAAAATTTAAGGTTGCAAGGGCAACTGACAATTTGTTTTCCAGAATGGAAGGTTGATCTATGTTAATTTACTAGTTCTATTTTGAAAGATAACTACAGTGGAAGGATTTCTTACTTGACTTGTAGAAGTTGTATAAAGAGTGACCTAAATGATTAAGTGAAAATAGTAATTAAACCTTTGGAGCTATCATATATTCTTTCTTTATGCAAAAGCGAACACACAGTCCACTAAAGGACAAGTTTGAGAAAACAATAAAAAACTATACATCATGAGACAGTCCAAAAGTGGCAATAAAAAAAAAAAAAGATCAAAAAACGTGCCAAAGGCTCCCAACAATCAACTCAAAACGTAGCCCAAAATTCCCTCTAAATTTAAATGAATGAAGAGGAAAGGAGGATGTCGAAAACAAGAAAAAGCTAGCATGTATGCATGCATATAATTTTGATTGAATGAGAAGAAGATTCTTTAGTTGTAGTCATCAGGAAATGTTTGCTCAAAACAGTTAGGCAAACCATAGATTTGATGGTCTTTCATATCATTTTAGATAGTAACGAGTCCTTCCCTGAAGTTTGTGTTCATATGAACTGTATGCAAATGAAATATCACACGAACAATCTAGATGGATGGATTTTTAGACACTGAGAGGACATATGTTGGATTAATTCAGAGAGATGAATCTTTAGACTACAGTAACATAAATTAGAATGAGAAAGTTATAAGACAAGGTGAAGCAATAGAATTCTAAAGTGTTCTATGATCCTTTGCTGCAATGGTCCCAAATAACTTTAAAATCATTGTTATCTCATAATGAAGCAATCGAAGTTTAAACTTCTTGAGTTGTGTTGCCTTGCAGGTGCTTAAGTTGAAAGATCAGGACTTCTTGGGAGAAGCCAGTTGTGCCTTGTCTGAAGTAAGTTCCTTGATCAATTTTTTCGTTTTCTTTTTTATTCAGAATATATATGTTGATTTATTGAATGGGTAAAACATGTGCATAGATCCATTTCAATGCACATTGCTAACATTCTGCTTTTTTAATTTTAATAAAGGAGCTGGTTTTGGTTTGATAAAATGCTAATAAGTTGGACATTAGTGGTTTCACAAAGCCTTGCTCATCATGTATTCACTAACATGTGTCATCATTTTTACCTATTTTCTGTGGCAGATAATTACCAAACCAAGTCGGACTTTAACCATAAAACTCGGCAACAAAAATAGACCAGGAGTTCCAAGAAACTTGGGGACACTCTCTGTCCATGCTGAGGAAACAGTTGCTTCTAAGAGTGCTGTGGAAATAGCACTCCGCTGCTCCCGTTTAGAAAATGTGGACCTGTTTTCCAAAAGTGTATGTATTTAAAGCAGCTAATATTATCACTAATTGATTTATGCACTCATTTCTTAATTCTTATTTTTCTTCTTTTAGGATCCATTCTTAAGAATATCTAGAATTGTTGAGAACGGAGATCCTGTTCCAATCTGCAAGACAGAAGTAATAAACAACAACTTGAATCCCATTTGGAGGCCATTAACTCTGAGCATACAGCAATTTGGAAGCACGGCAAGCTTGTTACTTTCTCACATTTCTATTAAAAATTAGAGGATGTTTGGTGCAAGAAGAAATCTTAGCTTATGACATTTTTCATTGATGCAGGATAACCCGTTAATTATTGAATGCTTTGATTTCAATAGCAGTGGAAATCATATACTATTAGGGTAATCATTGAATTTCTTGTGGTCATTAACTTTTCTAGTGTTTTGTTTTACCTTTTTGATGATGTTAGACCTGAATTTATATCATCAGTAAAATTCAGAAATCAATTGGAGATCTGGAGAAACTTCATCAGGGAAGAACTGGTGCAGATCTTATTAAACCGTCTGCTCATCGTGGTCGTGAAAAGGTGTTTATTCATATTAATATTAATAATAAATTTCACTTCCTTGTTTGACCACACTTTTGCCTTATAGGTTCTGAAAGGTCAGTTGTTTGTTGATAAGTTTATTGAGAAAGAGCAATATAGTTTTCTGGATTATATTTCTAGTGGCTTCGAGTTGAACTTTATGGTTGCAGTTGACTTTACAGGTAAGTAAGATTTGCCCTTCTAATAAGAATATATGTTATATTACTTGACTATATATTCACTGTAATATTTTTTTCTTAATCTGTACTTGAATTTTTTCCCTTTTAATTTGATTTGGTTTGTCTTATTTCATGTACATTCTTTTAATACATAATTATCCAGCTTCAAATGGAAATCCTCGAAATTCAGATTCTTTGCACTACATTGATCCTTCAAGCCGATTAAATTCCTACCAACAGGTAAGGTTAAGCTATGCGATTAAGAAGAATCTCTGAAGCGTTATATAAATTTAGTTTTATAAGACATGACTTCAAGGTTACATATCATTTAGCTAAATATCATTGGATATTTCTACGAGTTACCAAACAGTCATTCTGTATAGTGGTTTGCCCTTAAAAGATGGCACTAACCTCAAATTCCTTCATGACTATCTAAGTTGAATGCTGTTTTGTCTGTTTCCTTTTACTCTATTTCTACGTCCTTTATGAGTGGAATTCTATCTTAAAACTCAAAATTACAAGAGAATTTATCAACCAAACTACCTAGTATTCAAATTCTAGTCAAAACTGAAAATATTTAAATTTAAATTTGTTTAAGTTTGCATAAAAAATGTAAGAGACCAGCTTTGGTTAGTAAAGCAGCGACTGAATTTTTGACAAAATATTTTACAGGCTATAATGGAAGTTGGGGAGGTTATACAATTTTATGATTCTGACAAACGCTTTCCAGCTTGGGGGTTTGGAGGGAGAACATTTGACGGAACCATATCACATTGTTTTAACCTGAATGGAAGTTCGAATGGCTTTGAGGTGAGAGCGACTAAGGTTTGTTGCTTTGATGTGATGCTCTTATCTTTTAGGTAGTTGAAATAGTTGACATATCAATTCTAGCTTTTCTCTACGGAGCAGAATTTTTTTTTTTTTATTTTAACTTCTTCCTTTGTTTAGAAATTTAACATCTTGAAACCTTTTGAAATTACAGCTCTATTTTCTTCACATCTTAGTATTATCAATTAATTTGCTTCCTTCAATACCGTTGCATTTCAAATTTTAACTGTTGCTCATGCTTTCTGTTTTTCATTCTCTGTTATCTCCATTTTTAATTTGGTATATTTTAAGAATTCATAAAAACTTGTGAAAGTACTTTCAATCCTACTGAACTATGTAGTTCATTTTCGCATACCAACTTTATCAATTATATTGGTTACCACGGCCAAGGCATATTGAACACTGTTTAATTTCTTGAAAAAAAGCAACTACTGATCCATGTGCAAGTTGGTGTTGCTTGTTTCCAAGGATTTCCTTCCATATGCTCTTTAATCCCAGAAACCACATCAATGGATCTGTAAAAACAAATGTGCAACTGAATTTGCTTTTCCGTTTTCAAGAACATCTGATTTCTTGACAGGTTGAAGGAGTTGAAGGCATCATGGCTGCCTATGCGAATGCTCTCCACAATGTTTCTCTGGCAGGACCTACTCTGTTTGGCCAGGTGATAAACATGGCTGCACAAATTACTGGTCAGTCCCTCTCACATGACAGTAGCAAGTATTTTGTCTTGCTCATTATAACGGTAAATATGGTTAACTTCTTCTTACAATTTTCTTTTTCTTTGTTCATTCTGTGGGATTAATCAATTTGTAACCTTTTCTAGGATGGAGTTCTGACAGATCTTCAAGAAACCAAAGATGCTTTGGTGAGAGCATCTGATCTTCCCCTTTCAATTCTTATTGTGGGAGTGGGAGGTGCCGATTTTACACAAATGGAGGTACACCATTGTTCTCCTAACTCAAACCTTCGGAAGATTTAGTTTAGTATATGTGGTCTAAGCAATTACTTATTTTCAGATTCTGGATGCTGATAATGGCAACCGTTTAGAAAGCTCTACAGGTCGGGTAGCTACACGAGACATTGTACAATTTGTTCCTATGCGAGAAGTTCAAAGTGAGTGCATATTGCACCTCTCTCATCTTAAAATTAATCCATTATTACTTTTTACATGTTTTTCAAGTGCAGAAGTTGTTGCAAAAGTTTTTCGGCTACTTCATTAGATTGTCTCCATAATATAAGACTCTCAGTTCTAATTTGTGATATACTTGAACAAAAATTTCTTCTCATTGCATTATGTATGGTGCTTTAACTGACTACTTGATTGTGTTTTGTACAGGAGGACAGATTTCTGTTGTTCAAGCACTTTTGGAAGAGCTGCCGGGACAGTTTCTGGGTTACGTGCGATCTAGAGATATCAAACCACTCAATCTTCGCGCGGCCCAAACACCTGCTTTATAAAATTCAAATACCACCAAAATTCCAAAATCAGGGTAAAGATGTTAGGATTACCTGTTCATGTGAAGTAGCAATTGATGGTACAGATAGTAGGGTGAAGCTTTTGAGGCTTCATCATTGATTTGATTAGCTGTAAATAATGATGAGATGATGAATTTTTTTTTTTTTTTATTTGTGATAATTTGATTGTTTACATACGTTCTTGGGCAATAACAATTGCGTTACTAAAAATTTCTGGCAATTTAAGTTTATCCATCCATGCTGAAATGTTACTTCTAGAAGTCAAGAAGCGTAATTGACGTAAGTCAATCTTATCAACTATTTCATTGTTGTTGTTTTTTTTTTTTTTTTTTTTTTTTTTTTTTTTTTTTTTTTTTTATTACTGGTAATATTCGAGCCAATTTATATGCACCCCAATCAGTCCTTCGACCCTGAACAAAGCTTTCAAAACAGGGTAAACTCTACAGTTCGTGGCTAACAATATTAGTAACTTTTCTTGTGATTCAAACCTAAGACTATAGGGGGAGCAAACCCCTTGGCCCTAAGCCTTCACCATTCGATCAACCCATTGTTGGTTTACTTTATTGTTATTGGCATGATCTTCCCTTTCAATAGCAAGAATCTCTTTCATATTCTAGCAACCTGCCACTGTGATTCTTTGAAGTTGTCGAAGGCAGTTGGCATTGGAGAATTAGAAGATTCTTTTAAGAATTATTAACACAAAATTTGTGATTAATTATTTTGATAAGAATTATACTATTACAAAATCGTTTTAATATTTCTTGGAAATATCTTTGGTAGCTTAAAAATCATACTCAAATCTTGAAGATAAAATACATGAAAAAGAAGAAATAATTAAGGGATTACCTGCGATAGGAGTGTTATAAAAATTTATATGAAAAATTACACTATCCTTAGTATTGCAATTTTATCAAATAAATAAAGAAATTTCGTATTAAAGGTATATGTTTGTACTTTGTAGCGGATGAAATTTACATTAACATATATGTGATTAGACAAACTCTTATTTTAAGGAAGACTAAGAAAGACTTTTATGATAGATTGACATTATAAGATAATAATAGTATTCGATGTAGATCATAAAATATAAAATATTATGCTTAGGATTTCCAAAAAAAAAAAAAAAAAAAATGGTTACAATATTTACATGATGCATTGGACTGCTTATTACCTTTATTATCCACAACTCCAGACTCGGCAGATGATGAATTTCCAAGCTGCCAAGCTATATGAAACCAGATAGTTCAATCTTTTCACAGATAAGAAGCTCATGAAATGAAAATTTCATCAATTCATTAAGAATCTCCCATACAACTTACACAAATATGATTTTCTGTGTAAATGAGAATGGTGGGTTCAAGATGGCAATAAAAGTGCTGTGTTTTTTTTTTTGTTTTTTTTCTTCTAATGTTCGACCCTTGTTTCTGTCACCCGTTTTGCAATGAATAGAACAACAATATCACATGCATACGCCACCAAATACGAAGAATATTCTTCATATATGGTGGCGTATGTGCTCTTGGTGTTCTATTCGCAAAGCTGGTGCCAGAAAACAAGGGTCGAACATTAGACGAAATACAAGAATCGGTGATGAATGGTTCCCACTAAGAAGAACTTACCAATAAGTTATACATGATACAACAACACACCGGAGATCATTGGCAGACATTGATGTATCCTATAATGATTAAAAAAAAATGAGAGAGAGAAAGGTTTCTGAGAAATAAGATCAAATAACTTCGAAAAAAAAGAAAAAAAAAAGTAAAATTTCAGATGTTTCATTTGTAAATTTTTCTGAGCTTCAACTCAGAGATACATTTCTTAAACTTTTTGAAATTAACGATCTCAGATCAGATACAGAAATGAGACAGGATTTTTTTCTTGAATTGGCAGGGATATACAGAATATCTAAATTATCAGAAGGTGGATTTTTCAACATGTTCCATCGGAAATATCTTTATACACTCGTTAATAAACCTTATACTTTATTCATCCAAATCTTGCAGCAGTTGGTAATCCCTTTATTTCTTATTTGCTTTATTGATGTTTCAAAACTGTTTCAGGTTGAAGTTCGCCTGATTGTATTCCAACGATTTTGGGGACATTATGGTTTTGTGTTCTATGCAAGCACCATTTTTAAGGATGCCGGTAAGCTATGTGAATCATTTTAGTTCTCCGTAAGATATAGATTAAAAGAAGTAATTTGGAATGTAGAAATATGACTACACCTATTTTTTGTTATTTTACAATAGGCTTTCCGAGCAGAATTGGTACCATAGTAGCATCTATTGTTCAGGTTAATTACAGCCTCAATATGTGTAATTCTAGCTATGTGGGTTGTTTGATTGATTTAAAACTCGGCTATATTTGAGCAGCAGAACTAATTAATTTCCAGTACAAATGTTCTTCTAGTACAAACCCTCTACTTCGCGAATCAAGAAAAGACAGAAGCAACAATCAATGAGCTTCTTGTTGGCCTTGATTATGTGTGGAGATTCGGTAGAGAAGTCAATGCAAAAGCTTTGCAGGAGTGTACTAGCGGCAGAATATTTGATGAATGCGCGGGTTTGGATGGGTAAATTATTCTCTGGTTGACACAACCCATCCCGAATTTCCTCATCCCGTAGGATCCGGGCGCTCCCACAAGACTCAGATACCCGAGACGTGTCATGTAGAAAAACTGCGAAACTTGTTTAAAGAGATACTTTTCCTGAATAACATCATAGTATTTCCATTTCCAACATCTCAAAAAAAAAAGACATGCATCATCTTTCGTTTTACAAAAGGAAAGAGTTAGGGAAAATTGTAGTATCAGGTTTTCCACTTATACTATACATTCCAAAACATGAAACAAAAGGAAATACATGAAGGAAAACATGAGTTCTTGAAACGAAAGTCCAAATTTTACAATGCGACGTAAATATAAAACCCACATAAAAGATGTCAACGCGTGGCACAACCCTGAGCGGAGGCTCACTACTCGGCACGATCTCCGGAAGGTCCTGGTGGGGGGAAAAAACCTTTAAAAAAAAGGGGTGAGCTGAAATACTCAGTGAGTGGGGAAAAGGGGGAGTTTGCAAAACATTCGTCAAACAAAAGTTATGGCATGCAAAGGTTTTTAAAAATACAGAAAACAACATGATCCATGAACATTCTTTTACGGTGGCAGCTAATCATCCATGTATGCTGCATAACTCATTTCTAATTGTTCTAAGTATTATAATCTGATCAATTAAACTGACAACAATTTCTGAATCTAGCTCATTACTAAATGCTGAAAATTCTTTTATGAGAACTTAAAGAATTGCTGTAAATGCTTATGCTTCTAAAGACAATGTTTTCTATAAATCATGCTACAACATCAACTGTTTCATATAACTAATGCAACTATCCATCAGATACTGAAAAATGAAACTATTAATGATACTGAAAACTATAGGCTGGTATCTGAAAACTTTAAACTGATATCCTGTTTCGAAACGTAAACGATACTAAAGGTTTCACCACAACTAGTACCTTGGGGAAAAATCTCGATACCTGGGGGGCATCCCACACACAGGCAGAGCTGGGAAATACATCCAATACCCGGCAAGACTATCATCGCGCGGGCAGAGCCTGAAGAAAACCATCTCAATACCTGGCGGACAAACTCAACGCCCAGGCAGAGCACTAAATACTCAATACGCATGCGCAGAGCCTGAAGACCAAATATCTCAATACCCAGCGGAATCCTGCATCGCGTGGGCAGAGCTGAAAACGGGGGATGGGTACTTCGTAGGGTGGTTTTAACACCATAACAATCTCATGCATAATCTCAAGTAACAAGTAAGTCAAGAGCATATTTCGTAAGTGCTTATAAATCATACATATATGACATAATATTCAAAAAATCACTCCAGGGGGGAAACTGAAAATTTCCAAACGTTTTAAAACTGACAGTTTAACCAGATTAAAAATACTTTCAATATCACATTTCCATAGCATATGTCCATCACTAATCATAAGATATATACCACATTTCATATAAAAGTAAATCATGCCAAATCGTATGAAAATCCATGCAAAATAGGGGTAGAATGCAAGGTTAAAACATACTTTCAAAACTGACGAAGAATGCACCCCTTCTCTTTTTCTTTTACCAAGAAACCATTACCAACATCACGATCCTCAACCCGTTACAATTCAACCCATTCTCTACTCTCAACAGCAACATTTTATTCATATAGCATGAATACATATAAATTCTATATACCAAACTTCATCAAAACATTTAAAATAAAATCCCAAGTTAACATGCAAGCATGGATTTAAGGATTTGGAAGAAGATTTTGTTTAATCCACTCACCAAATCAAGCTATAATTTCAATGAGGCATTCAAGACAAATATAGTTGATCCAGTAATATTTTCAAGTCATTTCAGAATCAATAACTATTTAAAACACAATTTTCTTTCAACTCATTTAAATCTGCCAACTGTTTCCAGAATTGAGGTTACTGACTTGTAAAATTCATAGCAATTCAGCCCTAATCTAAACCTCATGAAACTCTCCAGAATTAAACTAGACACAATAGGATTCACCAGAATTTAAAATCACTCAATTTGGATAAGTTAAGTGCATTATTTCAGTTCTGAAAAAGCATGCTCTACAGAAAACATGAAATTCCAGAATTTCATAGCAGAATTAAAATTCAATAAAAAATCCAATACTTCGAATTTTGGGGTGAAATCAATTTTTAACCAATATCTAATAAGTATCAAACAAAATACTGAATTTAGCTTCATTTACAAACCCGAAACATATAAAATTTTTAGAAGTTTAGGCTGTCAGAATTTCACAGCATAACTTTTATAACCAAAGCATACTTTAATAACTCTTGGTTCTTTAGGATCAATATATATGCTCTACCCGTATAAAACTATTGCATTAAATCTCCAATTTCAGTTAACCACAATAGTCAGCCACACAATACAACATACAATTTCCCATAATTTCTTTTCTATCACAAACATATGTATATGCATAAAAGCACACATGCATGCCAAGTTCAACATTTCTAATTCTGCCTAT